GCGAGCGAAAACAATAGCGGTCACTCCGGGAGAAGAAGAGTGAAATAATCCAAACGGAAAACCGTTGAGTCTTTTTACGCGGGCTTATCGGAAATGTATCTGCATTTGTATCTTCATCGTACGATTATTCCGCAAAGGAAGCGCAATTACGAGGTGTATTCCACCTGATTACATGCAAGCTGTAATCTCCTTTACCGCTCTTTATCGCAGTACATCCGTCTTGCGAAACGAATTGCAGTGTTTTTTTTTTTTTTTTCTTTCTTCGCTGCACAACTCATCGGTTTCATTCCTATGTCGTTCTCTCGGCCGTGTATCGAATCGTATACAAAATATTGGTGCTGTATTCACGATTTTCACTCTCAACGAAGTCAGATGCGTGTAATTGATAAAGAAAATTCAGTGATGCTCTACTCGTATTTCTTAGAAAATGACAAATTATTTTCGAGCGTCCTTAATATCGCTTTATAAAGATTACTGTTACATTTCCGCTTTCTTTTCCACGATGAAAATAATTAATTACACTTATATGTATATCGCTAAAAGTTTATCGCGGTGGCTCGGGAATTATTTTTTATTGCAACATTGCCCCAATGTTTTACGTCACAATGTAATATCGTTTATTTGTTACAACACAATTCAAAAAAAATGAAATTCTATTGAATCACATAATTTTGAAATGCAATTCTTTGGAATAATAATTTTAATTTAAATCATTAATAATTTTGGAATAAAACTTTTACTGTTTAGCAAAGTATGTTCTTTTTTTTAAATGTGTCCTTTCTTTTTTCTTTACGTGTTCGTTCTTTTGTAAGCGACTCCAAAATAACATTATTTAAGTATAGCAAATAAGCATTTTTATTTAAGTGTAACAAATAAACGATATGTATTATCGTATAAATATAACGTATATATAAAAAAAAAACTTCGTTACCCGATAAAATTTATGACGGCATATTTTAGTGTCGCGTATACGCGTAACGTGATAATATTCATCGTGAAGCGAAATTGGTATAATTGGTAGGTCAATAACACCGAAATGTTATTACGGACACAACGATAATAACGAGTGTGTGCCTAGCTGGATACATGAGACCTGCAAGCATACGTAACTAATTGACCCATTTAATCACACGAACAATGTGTAAAACGAAACGTTAAAACGAAACCTATCTGTGTCTCGTAGCAATTTGCTCCCGCCGGTATTTGAATAATTTGTTTTCTGAAAATTGGAGTGTGACGGGGCGCAATGTATGTTGCTTTATCGCTTGAGAGTAATTGCTGTAATCCGTAATTGTTATACGCGCGAATTGCCACGAAGGAATCGATACGGGAGAATTTTGTTCACTTGGCATCTTGAAAAAAAAAAAAAAAAAAAAAAAAAACCAGTACATTCAGGACGTGCATAATTCAATCGTCGTTATCCGCAACATCCGTTAGGTTTTATCATCGTAAGGACGTAAGAGATTTGCATTCATCCTCTCTATAATTAGCTTGATTAATCTTACTTGAACGTTTGACGGTAACTGGCGCTGGGAGCGTTTCCTACGTCGTTGGAATAATCATTACTGCGATCGTTTCGGGGTGATATACGGAGATCAGCCGATAGCGACGAGGTAAAATAGCGATCTCGTTGGCTACGGTGGATTACGGTAGCCGGCTATTTCGAATCGTTAACGCGTATACGTGAAAATCCACAGTGTCCTTGTTTCCGACGTTTGAACACGCTCTACCCGCCCATAAATCAAGACCGATCGTCGGGTCGCCACCGACGTTGTGGCACCACCACGGCACCGACCGTCGCGTCGCCTCTGGTCG